AAAAAAAAAAAAAAAATGTTAATTTTGTTATTTTTAGGTGGCAGGGTGGATTTATAGGTGATTTCAATTTTTTCTTTGTAGGAGAAAGGATCATTATTTCTAATATCTGAAATAATTAAAAATGAAAGAGAGAGTAAAATTATTTTTTTGTGATCCTAGAGGACAGAACTAAGAATTACAGGGAAGCCAAGATTGGCTCAGTGTAAGGCATGACTTTCTAAACAATCAGAATTTTCTAAGCAATGAATGATCTGCCTCATGAGGTAATGAGTTTTGCATTATTAGAACTCTAAGCAAAGGCTAAATGGTCACTTGGCAAAGATATATAGACAGATTTATGTGTTAGGAGATTAAAGAGAAGAGCTTAATGGTCCCTCTCTACTCTAAAAACTTATAATTCCGCAGAGTTTTCCATTGCTGGGATACCAGAAAGGAAGTGGTTGGTATTTCTTTGCAAATGTCATTAAAAACCCAAGTGACACTAAACGAAAGAGATTATAACTATATTAGAATAATGGAGTTGAAGGATGATTTATTTTGTTATGTTCTACATCAATGATATATACATTAAAGTGAAAGGAGATGACTAACCCAATGGAGAGAATTCAAACTGAACTGGCAAGAACTACATTTGAATTTACTCCCTACCAATTTCTCTAATAAGAACCTGATGAATTACACTTTTCCAAGGTGAATTAACACTAAACATCTCAAAAAAAAGAAATATAAAAGGCACTATGCTCCTCTTTTTGCTTCTGGCTGCACCATAATTCACATATAAAGGAAAGATGAAGAATACCCCACTCTTACCCTTACAATATGGTCTACAAAAATCTCAACGTTTTGGATATATCAATACCAGGCAATGAGAAGTAATGCAAAAACTTAACATTACACTGAATTCCTGGAAGGCAGAAGAAAGGTAGAGGCCTGGCCGGGCGCGGTGGCTCACGCCTGTAATCCTAGCTCTCTGGGAGGCCGAGGCGGGCAGATTGTTTAAGCTCAGGAGTTCGAAACTAGCCTGAGCAAGAGAGAGACCCCATCTCTACTAAAAATAGAAAGAAATTAATT